TTGTGTAAGATTGCACAAACTATAGCTATATTTTAAAGATTTTCACTGTACAGTGGTAACGCGGGCGCTAGCACATGGGCTGTTGGCGGGAAGGTCGGGAAGGTGTGAACTGCAGTGCGTCGACTGCGCTAGCCCGGAGGAGTGGTGTTGTCATCTTCATGCGTGCGGCGGCCTTGGCGATTTTCTTGTCATAAGGGTGCTTAAAGCTCAACAATTCAACATACAAGCGATCAAGTGAGCTCTGTTAGTCTGCTTCTGTTACGTTTATACGATGGAACTCGAACAGAAGCCACGAGGGTTAACGCCAAATCTACGACCTCTTGGCAGGAGCGAGGTGAGATGAAACACTATCTATTGCTTCGATGGAAATACTTTGGTTTGATCCCGTTTCTGGGGTGGAGACAATTTCTTTACTAGTTTGTTTGCATGATGAGCTTCACGGAATGTAAAAAGCTTTCTTCGCAGGATTTCGACTGCGATAATTTATCGCCAATGCCGAGCAATCGACAAGCACTTATCCTCGGCCGTCAAATTTGACAGCCGAAAAAAATGTGCGTTCTCCGATGACGACAAGTTACATACTTGTTACAAGAAAACGCTGTCCAAACGTCATGAACTTGTTTGTTTCGGAAAAGCAAAGAAGATATCAACGTTTCATGTTTTAAAGGTCTTTCGTGTAGACTGACCTTTGCAAATATGAAAAATTGTCTTTTTTTTTCACATCTTTCATCTACATCCAGAAGGATGTTGTGAAATCGGGCACGAATATTTGAACAGAGGTTTTGTTGGCGTCTGAAAAACAAGATGGTTTTGAGAGTTTTTCTTATTTCCGAATCATCTCCAATTAATGATCCGATGACTTCAGATATGGATCCCTGGACAACCAATTTTATGTGGCTCTTTAAATTTGTAATTGTATTCATCAAGTAGACCGCGGTAGAGAGTAACAATTCAAATGTGTAATCCTAGATCAGAATTCCAGATATAAAGTTTTCAAGGAGGGTGTAAACAAGGAATTTGAACGGGTCAGTTTCCACTGCTCGCACCAAATCGTTATAAATTTTNATTTTGAGTATTAATAATATTTTCTCTTACATGTTGCCATTTTCCAGTGCTCAAATTATTTTTATGCTCATTTTTGCAGGGTGTTGATATGATACACAATCTTACTGATGGCAAGCTGTTGACAGTTAAGCTAAAGGAAACCAAGAAATCATTAGATAGTATGTGGATTAAATTTAAATCTGTTCGTTCTGAAAGTCTTCCAGACTTTTAAGCAGATTTCATCATTGATGTTGTCGTATTCTGCAATTGTTTTTAATTTGAATGGCTGATTTCCCAAAGATTTTCAACCACTTTCCAGTGATTTCCAAAGATTCTCCAAAAGTTGTTCAATGGCCACGTAAACATTTCTGAAAATTTCCAAAGATTACTGAAGATTCCCAAAGATAACCCAAGGCTTGATAAAAAACTGAATTTCAGCTTTCCCTAAGGACAAGTAGGTTGTAGCTCTCAAATAATGCTTGCGTTGGGTAAGTCGTAGTTTGCTATCTTAATGATTTAGTTGGTAGACGACTTGCCTGAACCCTTACCATCAGGTAAGTGAGAATGAAATGTTACTTACACAGAGGAAAAATCTACTTGTTCCAGATGACTGGACAGCTCTTTTTTTGAGCCCTGTAACTGAGGGTTGCAGAAGAATTCCAAGGAAGATCCGAAGATGTTTTGATTATAATATAATCATACAAAGAAATTCAAGTACAGTTGAAGAGTCAAAAATAATACCAAAAATGATATTGCACATGTGCAGAGCTGTTAGTTTTGAGTCACCACTTGAGGGCCTATGAAGCATACTCACCCGTAACAGGTCTTACTGCAGTAATGGCCATTAATGACAGTCCTACATGCATGGATAAAAATGATATCATCACAAACAGGATAGCATTTTTACTGATTTGCTCCCACTCTATGCCATACATGTAATAATTATTATTGTTGATGTTTTGTATATGTAGTGCCCTGTTCTGTGGAGCTTTGGGATAATTCTGAAGGTGGAGTTGGAAATATTGCAGATGAGTTGATCAAGCAAGGATTAGTTACAGCTACTGGAGAGGTACAGCATAATTTTTCAAATTAATTGTCATCAAAACTTGTTTGAGTTTTGCTTTTTTTGTTTCAGAGGCAAAATTTAATATATCAAGGATGTGATTAACTTGCAAGGTTGAGCCACAAAGCACTAGTATGACACATCCAGAATTATAGAATTAACTCTTCTGTGATTTGAAGTACTGGAAATAAACTACACTGTAGAAAGAAAGGAAAAAAGTTTCAAACCAAAAGCAAATTTGACCACAGC